AGAGGAGAAGCAGGAGGAGAAGACATTGAGAAAAGCGCTTCGTGGAAGCCATGTTCATCCTTCGAAACTCAAGATTCAACCAATCAGATTCGTCGCGCAATAGGAAGATCCTATTGATCCACGTACCTGATTGGCGAGTGGGAGTTATCGAAGGACCGATCGGGCGTCATGCGCTGAATTCAGAGGGTGGGAAGGAAAAAAGGCGTGAGAAGTAGCGCAAGACGGGTCCAAGATTCATACGATCAAGAAACGGAAATGGGCACGCAAAGAGTAGAGAGGGAAAGAGAGAGAGAGGGAGAAAAACAGTTACGAGGAGAGAGAAAGAGGAGGAGGAAGGAAATAGGAGCGCGGGAGAGAGCGACGCGGGGGACAGAGAAGAGAAAGCTTTGCATGCGCGGCGCCGTCAACAAAAAAAGAGAAAAGGGCACCGAAACAGTTACAGCTTGCCTATATCCTAAACCAATTCAAAATTGAAATCACCATATCCACGCGCGAAAGAGCGACGCGGGAAAAGAAAGTCCTACGCCTATTCGTATCCCCACAAAATTCCGAGAGTTTTCCCCAATGCGACCGAGAGCATTGACACACGAACAGGACACATCGAAGTTCCGCTTATCCCAGAATTCCCAACTGCCGGGCCCAATTCCCAGTGCGCTCGCTAAGGCGCACGTAAATTCCTATGTATTTCCCGAATTGCAAAAAGAAAAAGCAAGACCCGGAAATCGTAAAGGCTTCCGAAAGATGGGGGCCCAAAACGCGGCGCCCAAAATCAAGAAAACGAAACGGGGTTTTTATGGGGTTGGTATGATACAAAAAAGGAGGGGTACGAAAGATAGCGCGGGTTCGGGAAGTAGTTCATCACATATGTGACGCGCAGGGGGTTCCAAAATTATGCGATCTCCTGATTGCATGTTATGGCGGAGAAGGAGAGAGAGAGAGAGAGAGAATAGAGTGATGCATGAGGAACCAAGCGTATCAACAAACGATCCAGCCAGAGTCCATGTTGACTCCATCTTCAATTGCAATCTTCTCGTGGTTCTGTTGGTTCGTGCTGCTGGAATTATCGATGGTCGTCCAGGTGACGCCATCATCGTCCACCGGTTCTCCGTGTGCTCTGCACCCCAGTTTGTCGCTACCCGTCGAATCAGAGCGTAGGTTGACGTTATCGTCGCTGGTGTAATCTTCGCGAAGCTTACTGATTCGTGCCGCTTTCCCCTGCCGATTAGATGAAGAGAGGGGGGGGGGGGGG